CACTCACACACACACACACACACACACACACACACACACACACACACACACACACACACACACATAGCCCCACCTCTGCACACACACACTTGATTCCCATGCGCACTTTGTGTAGGCTGTGTGATTCGGTTGGATCTTGGGCATGCAATGCAAGAATGCGGTAAGAGAGACAACAACCAATCAAACCCAGACGACAGCAACACAACCACGCAGCAACAACAACGCACCGCGGAGGAGGAGGGCACACAAAACGTGCATACGCACACAAACACACACAAACGAAGGATAAACGCAGCACATCACACGACATCGAGACTTGGAAGAAACAACACCGCGCGTGGGTAAATGAAACAGGCAAAGAAGCAAAACGAGAACGTCAGCAACACGAAACAAGGGGGGGGGGGTGCTGACATCCTCGCGCATGTGCATATGCAGGCAAGGGTCAGAGATGGTGGGAAGAAGAGAAGGGTAGGCCGTAACACGAACCGCGGGCTGCAGACACGCGGACGTGTCACGTGAACACTGAAATGGACGTGGGCTCCGCCTTATTTGCTGAGGAAGGACTTGCCATCGAAGACAACAGCATCATCCTCAGGGACTGCCATGATTTGTGGTGCCGGAGGTGTGGGTGGGCCAAGCGTGAGCGTACAGGTGCATATGAGAGAAAGAGAGAGAACAGAGAGAGACAGAGAGAGAGTGTGTGTGTGTGTGTGCGTGTGTGAGCGAGAGAGAGACACACACACACACACAGAAGGTGAAATGTGCGTGCATGTGTGTGCTTTGCGTGCATCCACATGCATGAGACACACGCGTGAGAGCGACAACGGGCTGAAGCTTACAGGGGTGTGGGTGGCGCAGGAGAACGGTCTCCTTGGTGGTCTCGCCCTGCAGCCTGTTGAGATGAATGGCTGGGGGTGAGAAACATCGGATGACAGACGTTGTCTCGTGCAACGCTTGCCCTGCTTGCAGAACGATGTAGCAACTGCGAAAAACTCGGGACAAGAGGATACACTCGACGGCACGTGGTTGTGCAAAGGCAAAACGCCAAACAGGCAACATCAACCACGCCCGAAAAAAAAAAAAGCATGATAACACGAAAAGGTTCGCGCCAACTCACTTGCTCTTGATCTTCTCGCCCTGCTTCTCTGCAATCAGATCTGCAATTGTCTCGCAGGGGGCATCAGCTTTGCTGTCGGTGGCCAACAAGCGCACGTATGAAATGTGAGGAAATGCAGAGAGAAAACAAACACGCAAGCCGCGGCCAAACAACATGCAACGCAAGCGAAGCGATATGCCCAAGTGGTATAATTTGTGTGTGTGTGTGTGTGTGTGTGTGTGTGTGTATGTGTGTGTGTGTGCTCTGTCTCTGTGAATGTGTTTCGCACTTGATGCAGAAGCCGCCCTCGACGCTGAGGACGCGAATGTGTCGGACCTGTCCATCTTGCCTGTTGACCAAACAGTGCCATGCGGGATTGCACGGGCATGGGTGTGTGCGTGCGTAGGCATGTGAGTGTGCGTATTTGCGTACACGTGGGTGTCGTGTATGAGGGAGTGGCATGTACAAGTGTACAAGTGTACAAGTGTAGCTGAAGCGAGCGCGCTATGGAGACAGAAAGGAACGCGAACCCATGTGGTGTGCTGAAAACCAAAACCGCCGACTTACACAACAGAGATGGAGTACGCATCGTCCTGGGACTGGCTCATGCGCACGAGGAAGGTGCCCTCCTATGAACACATTAACACACAACGCATGTGGCACGTGTTTTGTTAGCACAACGCAGCACACCAAGGGAGCAAGAGGTTGGTACATTCCCACAGCATTCCCACTATGACCGACGAGAACGTGCAGCAAGACAGAATACGTATGCATTTTGGAATAAGCACGTATCAGAACAAGTATACGCACACACACACCAAAGGAAAACAAGGCAGTTTGGCAACAGGCCCGCCCAACACCGCGTGTCACAATGAAAGCACCCACCGGCTTGCCAGAGAGCTCCTTGACGGCCTCATCGCGGCTGATACGGCCCCAGTTCCAGCTGAATCACCGCCGGGGGGGAAGGAGAAGGTAGTGTGAGTGTGTGTGTGTGTGTGTGTGTGTGTGTGTGTGATGTGGGTGGAAGGGAGAAAGAGGCGCATACATCAACTGAAAACACACACATACATACATACATACATACATACATACATACATACATACATACATACATACATACATACATACACACATACATACATACACACACACACGACATGGCGGCGCAACTCACGGCTGGGAGCCGAGTGTGTCGAGCTCGTCGTCATCGAGAGCGTCGAGTCCAGGGAATCCCTTGGCTGTTGCATTGGGGAAATGCGACATGGACGGAGGCGGGGGTAGCATTAGGCGAAGGCGAAGAGAATGAGGAAGGGAAACAAAGGCGAGCTTGTGGCGCCAGAGACTAACAAGACTCAAAGCATGCAACCAAACAACCACACTGAAAACACACTCGTGTAAACGGGAGAACGCGGCACACCACGCACACACATGAGCGTACACACGCACACACGAGCGCACACGACGCTTACTCATTGTGAAGGTTGCTGATGGAAGGCGGTAATAGAAAGCACGTCTGACTGTTTTTGCGTGTTGCGTGGATGTGTTGAGAGGAGACGGTAAGGCCCATACAACACACACAACCACAACCACAACCACAACCACAACCACAACCACAACCACAACCACAACCACAACCACGCACGCACACGACAACAAAAACAAGAGAACACAGCGAGTGCACACGATACAGCACACGCGTTTTCAGCCACGTTCCACAACCCCACCGGTGGAAGGCAGGCAGGCAGGCAGGCAGGCAGGCAGGCAGGGAGGACGAGGCAAACAAACAAATAGAGGACGAAGGGAGGAGGAGGGAGGGTGGCGCAGCCAAACCAAACACCCCGCACACACCTTCGTCGTCCGCGACTGGTCGTTGCTTCACTTTTCCCAGAACAGAAAAATGACCGTTTACAAGAAAGATTTTCACTCAGGCACCACTGGCGTCCACCTTGTGCTGTCGGGGACAGTGGATGACTGGATGACTGAGTCGTCGTGCTGTGTGTGTGTGTGTGTGTGTGTGTGTGTGTGTGTGTGTGTGTGTGTGTGTGTGTGTGTGTGTGTGTGTGTGTGTGTGTGTGTGTCTGTGTGTGTGTGTGTGT